AGCTACTTGGGAGGCTGAGAGGCAGGAGACTCGCTTGAGCCCAGGAGTTGGAGGTTGCTATGAGCAGTGAAGCCATGGCACTCTACCCAGGGGCTCAGCTTGAGGCTCTGTCTCAAAAAAAAAAAAAAAGTTAAGTGACTTTGCTGGAGTGTTACTGTTAACATTGTTGCTTCCAATATGGTAAGTATGTGCCTGAGAGGCAGGATAGGAGGGAGACCTTTTACCCTTTCGTATTATGACTATCTTATATTATTTACTAAAGGAATAGAAATAAAATGAAAAACAAAAGTAAGAAAACAGCCATGTAAACAATTTGCATTGCTATGATATTTAATTTTTCAAAATGTGAATAAAACCTGAGAGATGCCATTTTAAGAAGTCAATGTATATAACTGACTAGTATAATTGAAAATATAGGGATGGGTGAACTAGATACATATGAGACTTAAGGGATAGCCTTTTTGAAGAGCTGTCAGGTCAATTTAAATACATTGTAATCTGAGCTGCTTCATTGTTTCGTTGTAGGGGCACCATGTGAAATAGTACCCTTGCATGGAGTGCTGTGATACAGCTTTTGCTAAACATTCATGCTTGCACTTGGCCTTCTCTGATTTCTGTCTTCTGAGGCTGGTTCTGTTTCTGTTTCAAGGCTTTGTTCTTGCTGTCTTTAACTTGAGATCCTCTTCCTCTAGGTACTTGCATGTCTGCCCTTTTCTCATCATTTAAGTCTTCCATTACCTAATCCAAGGTCATGAAAATTTGTGCTTGTGGTTTTTTTTTTTTCTAAGCATTTTATAGTTTTAGTGCTTATATTTAGGACTTTTTATCTGTTTTGAGTTAATTTTTGTATAGGGTATGAAGTGTAGGGATCCAAGTTTATTTTTTACATGTGGATATCTAGTTGTCCCAGCACCATTTTTTTAAAAGACTATTCTTTCCTCATTGAATTATTGTTTTATTTTTTTATACAGAGTTTCACTTTGTTGCTCTTGGTAGAGTGCCATGGCATCTTAGCTCACAGCAACCGCAAACTTTTTTTTGAGACAGAGCCTCAAGCTATCTCCTTGGGTAGAGTGCTGTGGCATCAAAGCTCACAGCAACCTCTAACTCCTGGGCTCAAGCGAGTCTCCTGCCTCAGCCTCCCAAGT